TAGCTCGGAGCGAAGTCGCGAAGTGGGCGCAGAACGTGGGAAACCATGCGATTGAACGTGGCTGGTGCGTTTTTCAGGCCCTGCGGCATGACAAGCCACTCCCACAGCATCCCGCTGGGAGTGCTCACCGCTGTGAGCGGGACGTCGCTGAGTCGCATCAAGATCTGATAGAAGCCATCGGTCAGGTCGATGGTGCTGAAAATAACACTGCGGCCCATGGTGTCAAGTACCATATCCTTCCGAGGGATCGGCGTGTGTGCTGGAATGGTGGCGTAGCTTGTTAAAAGCGTGAACAATGCGCCAACCACCCGTGGCCTTCCTCACACAGAACGTCGGACTCGAGTGTGGCGAGGTACTCTCGCGCACGTGACCCGCTTTGCGGCGGCTCTCGAAGAAGTCGTCAATGGCTTTAACCTGATCGCGTGGGAGGGGCCACTGTCGCGTCACACAGTACTTGAACCCCGGCGTGAGATCAATCTCATGGCGAATGCCTCTGTCAGCAGGGAGCTCAGCTGGAATCTTGTCGGGAAAAACATCCGCAAACTCGCGGACGGTGTTGTATACTGGATTGCCCGAGTCGCGGAGTGACTCCCACGACTGGGCAGCGAAGCGCTCTTCGCGCGCCGACTTCGGCTCAGCGTTCTTTGGACGAAGTGGAAGATTGTCGGTAGCGACCGTGTGGATCTCTTCCGCCGAGGCAGACTCGGTGATCAAGCAGACCTGCTCGATGTCTCCTGACTTCAGATCGCGCAGAAAATGCTTCCAGGAAAGACCCGGAAGGCGTGTGATGGAAGAAGCTTCGCGAGGTGGGCTCTCAATGTCAAGTGTGCGTGAGCGAACGGCGCCTCCTTCTACGTGTTCCAGGACGTGTATGGACTCATTCACTGCGATATCGGCGGTGGGGCTGACCACGTCGCCTAAGGTGGGCGTCGCTTGGATTTCTTCTTGTGGCGTCTCGAACCGCTGCTCGAGACAGAAGACTCGCTATCGCTGGACGAGGGATCACTCCCCTCTAGACACGGAGGGGCACCATCAACCGTGTCGGTAGTACGCGGGAGCTCTCGATACTCGACCGCGCCATCGACAGGCGAGAGCCCCTGCTCGATCGCCGTCGTAGCCGGTGGGAGTGTCAACTGCTCGACCACCGCTGTGGATGACGGGAGCTCCAACTGCTCGACCGCCGAATCGCGTTGCGGGAACCTCTGCTCAACCGCTAGAGTGTTTTGCAGGAACCCATGCTCAACCGCCTTGTTGTGTTGCGGGAACTCATGCTCGACCGCCGTGTTGCGTGACGGGAACCCATGCTCGACCGTCGTGTTGCGTGACGGGAACTCATGCTCGACCGCCGTGTTGCGTGACGGGAGCTCATGCTCGACGTCGTGTTGCGTGACGGGAACTCATGCTCGACCGTCGTGTTGCGTGACGGGAACTCATGCTCGACGACGTGTTGCGTGACGGGAACTCATGGTCGACCGCTGCTCGGATTGCGGGAGCCCCTGCTCTACCGTCAAAGTGTTAACATCTCGCTTCGCAGCGAGGGGTTTTCGCGCAACAGCGCTGTGCAAGACATACAGAGAGGGCCATCGCTCGCTCTCTGCTCAACCTGCATTGTGGACAACCGGTCCACGACTCTGACATGGGGCCAGTCCTTCTGGGCAACCAGGAGGTGTGTGAACACCTCACTCACATCGAAGCCAGAGCGGTGTTTAACCGACCGAGCCAACCAGTCAATCTCTGGTTGATATCGTGACAACCTCGGGATACCAAGATGCAGTCGAACGCGTAGTTCATCTCAATCACGACGAAGTCGTCGTTGCTGCGGAAGCCGTCGAATGTGTACGGCAACGTGATCTCGCGCCGCGCAACGCGGCGTGGTTTTCCGTCAGCAAGTTTGACGACGACCTGACCTCGACCATTACGGACTGCGATCTCTCTTGGAAGCATCAATAAGCACGATTTGCGAAAGAAGTTATTCGACGCTCCTGAGTCCAGGAGTGCGCGAAGTGGTCGCCGGGCGCCGGCGACATGAAGACTGACGATGATCAGCCTCGAGTCGCCCGACGTGGTGGTGGCATTAAAGTGTGCGTGTAGCACAGGAGGGCTAGAAGGTTGGGTAGCCACCGGGGGACCCGGACCTCCATTCCAGCCAGTAGGGCGCCCCGCACCTACTGGCCCTGACCGTTTTTTGACTGAACGGCAGGTGAGACTTCGGCAGTGTGCGCGAGTACCGGCGCTGGCGCGCGGCATTCCGCCGCGCGATGACCGATCTTCCGGCAGCGGAAGCAAGTGAGCGGGCGATTAGGACGGCCGTTGGGACTACGAGAGGTCGACTGACGGTGACTATTCGACGCGTCAATCGCGTCGATCTCCATGGGCTCGGGGGCTGACTCACGAGCTGCCGTTGACATCGCGCGCGCGTAAGACGCCGCCACAACGTAGTCTTCGCGTAATGCGAGGGAGAATGCTTCCTCGAGAGAGGAAGGTTCCGCTCGGGTCAGGCAGTACCGTGTCATGCCTTCACGCATGCCGAATGCGAATACATGGACCTGCGATGCTGTGTCAATCGGATTTGTCACGATGCATGACGCGAGGTGGCGAGTGTTTTGAACGTAGTCGCGCATAGTCATTTTACCTTGACGAAGGGCGAAGAACTCGGCACGCACGCGGGATTCGTCTTGAGGTGGCTCGAACGCGAGCCTGAGATCTTTCCGGAGAGACTCCAGAGTGGGGAATGCGTCGTGATCAACGACAAGTTTACCGAGGGCCCATTCCTTGGCCTTCCCGGACAACCGGGACAATAAGAAATTGACCTTTGACCCTTGCGCTTCGATCATTTTCGAAGCAATCGCGATGTCGATCTCGCGAAACCACCGGTTCGGCGGGAGGCGATTCGCTCCTTCACCGGAATAGGTAGACGTCTCTAGCTTCACGACATCATTTTTCGAGGAACGCGCGGGAGTTGTTGCTCGCCGATTCGCATCGGCTAGCTCGCGTTCCATGAACTCTTGGGCTGCTTGGCGTTGTTGGTCGGACGTCGCTGAGCTCAGCAGCGACGCGATTACAGCCTCACCAGACACCGCCGCGAGGCGGTGAAGGGCTTCCCACTCAACACGAGTGAGATGAGGGAAAGCAGCATGTTCCAGGGTCGGCCCTGGAGTTTCAGACGTCATGCCTTGGCTCATCGTGAACTTGGTCATGGGAAGGACTACAAAGTGCTACCAGGTGTAACGGGCCTGGGGCGTCCGTTACTTGCTTACACGTAGTGATGAGGAAGCGTACAAGTCCAGTGATACTGAAACCAAGTGCTTAGTCTGAAAAAAAATCAACTCTGTTTTTATTTAGGTCCAGGGCAGCTTGCCCTGACCACTCAAATACACGTCAACTCCTTATTGGTTGATTATGGGTCTGGCTTCCCATATTTCAACCAATAAGGTGACGGCAGTTCAGCACACGCTACACGTGTGCTGCTGCACCTACTTTTGTAATGCAAATCTACCTACTTATGTAATGGTGTGAACCACTACAAAGAATCTATAAAACTACCTACATATGTAACTTGGGAGGGCCCATTACAGATACACGGTCAAGCAACGTTTACAGATAGAGGAAAGCATAGAGATGCTCAAGTTCGACTGAGCAACCGCGGCAATAAAATAAATTTCAAGTTCTGCGCTTTGCACATTTTTAACACATGCGGCTAGTCGAGCCAAAAATCGACAGTATCAAAGGTCTCGTCTTTCAGCTGCAAGTATCACCAACACTACTTGAGTATGAAGATATGCTATCCGAGATTTAGGACCAATTTCCCGGTGTTCGCACACGAACAGTCCACGGAAAACTGGAATCCCAGCCGGCTGCTCAATATTGCGTAAAATCCATCCAATAAGCTGAACCTTTTTTTGACAAAAGCTTGATCACACCAAATAAAAATGCCACAGCATCCGCTGAGTGGAATGAGGTAGAAGCGTACGGTGCAGCATGTGCTCTGCTCAGCGAAAGAACAACCAGCGCAGTGGAAGGGCAAAGCAATGCTCTGCTGCTGAGTGGTGCTCGTGATCGCGAAGTCTACGAAGCACTCGTTGTGTTTTGCAATCTAGCAGCTAAGACCTTCAATAAGAAGAAAGAGAACGCAGCCACATGATGAGCTGCAGCTCACACAACCGCATGTGAGGGCGAACTTAGTATGACTTAAATTTAAGTGAAGGGTAAGGTAACTGTCCGAAATCTCTCTGAAAGTTAGTACAGACAATGACGGAGAAATCCGACACCACTGAATAGCATCCAATCATAGTAAAAGAAAACCCACAGAGCCCGACAAAAAAATCCGACGCTTCATTTGGTAGGTTAATAACGGGCTCTAAAAAAAGCACAGAAAAAAAACATGTGAATGAAAAAAGGGGATAATATTCAGACGGTTACTTCCGGATACCTCGGGATAGTCTTTTCGAGCTTACGAATTATCGTTTTCTTTTCTAGCCTTTCCCAAGCAGCAATAGTAGATTTTATAGCACGGATGCGCTTTTCCTTAGCGGTTCCACCAGTGTGTCTACCACTACGATTCCATCGCGTAAAGCTGCCGACTGCGGCCGACACCGACCGACGCTTCGGTGATTGGTAAGAAATAGACTGGTCACAAAGCAACGTTAGGTTTTATTCTTAGTGAGGTTCTTTTAATTGACTGGATGCGCACCAAAGCACTTGTTGTCATTCCAGATCTTTCAGCAGCAACGGACAAGCTAACGGTACGTAACTGCCTACACTATCCAACACCCCCGAAGCTCTGATGGTTGAGCCCGGCCGAAAGGCCGGTGGAGTTGGTTCGAATCCAGCCGGGGGTATCTTGATTACTTATGATGTTTGATACAAGGCGTCTGAAAACTCAGCTAAGCATATTGTAGTGCAGTGTTTTATACACTGCCCATAAGTATGCTGTACGAGCTATCTAGTGCTAACGTATGTAATATAAGTTGTTTTCGCCAACATGAGTGTCTATTTGTCGTTTAGGTTGCTGAGGAAGTATTGTCTTCGATAGCCTCATCGTCAATGAAGGTACTGCGCACACGATCACGGCGGTCACGGTTAAATTGCGGAATCAGCTTCTTTGAGATGTTCTCGCGAGGCTCCAGGGTTTACTCCCAGTCTACCAGGTAGTGTGCCTCGGTTGCCCATGACCACGCACTGCAAGAGACGTCGCACTCCGTAGGTCCCGCGCACTTGACCCACAGCTCCATCGGTTGGAGGAATGAGCCATTCTTGGATGTCGTCCAGCTCAACCAGCCCACGCTTCTTCTTGTTGCTCTTGGCCTTGCACTTGTCCTTCAATCTGACAAAAATTGCGCGGAGAGCTTCCGGTACACGGTCTCGAGTACCGATTGTCTGGATCATCGAGTTGCGTAAGGCACGGATGGACGCGTCCATAATGCGTAGCTTGGCAGCTTTTGCAAACGTAATGCAAAGCGTTTTGAAGTCACGACAAGTGATGATGGTCTCAATAGACAACATGCTAAATTTCACAGTTTGGCGGCGAAATCCAAAGTGTTTTGTTTTTAATACTTTGTTTGTGAAATTGTATTGGTTTGATTGTTACTGAATAACTGGACAGGGGAGCTGCCAAATAAGTGGCCTATTACTGAATAACTGGCCATGTCAATTACAGAATAAGTGGCCCGTTACCAAATAAGTGGCCTGTTACTGAATAACTGGCCACGTCTATTACAGAATAAGTGGTCCGTTACCAAATAAGTGGCCTTAATCCAAACAATGGTTACACTCACCTACCTACAACACGTTCGTTTTGCATTTACAGCAACTCAAAAGATGTATTTGTGAACTTAACACTGCCAAACGCTGCTGAGCGGATTAGTTGTTCGTACCGGTGATATTGCTCAGCGTTTGATGCATTTTAATGCAGAACTTGTCCGATCTTCCAGTAATCATTCCAGACGTCAGTTTTTTTATCTCGCTTTGGATCGATTTGTTCTTGTTTTGCGTGATATACAAAGCGATCTTCTCCATGTAATACAACATGTAGACCCCACAATCGGAGTTGTTTTTTTGCTGCGGGTGAGTCTCACAGACGGATGTCGTTGCAGAACCATCAGAGGCGACCCCACAGACTTCAGCCAAAAATTGCGTTGCAATACTGAGTACGTGGCTCGACACATGAATCCCCACGCAAGAGTCAACGTGAAACATGCGTCTTGATGGCTTGGCGGTCTCTTCAACAACAAGCAAGCTTCAATGGTTATCGCCCCAAACCGGAATTAGAACTGCAAAATACAGATCCCAGTCAATCTTGTCAACGAGCTTCTTGACATCCAAGAAACTGCTTTCACCACCGCTCTTGGCCTGGTTGATTTGACTGAAAAGCGATGCCCCAAGAAGTGTCACAGTTCCTCCAGTTAATTTTATCCACATTGTAAATGGCATTGTCGAATACCACATCAGCAAGCCAGCCAAACGGTTTGAGCGTCATGATATCATCTTTGAAAACTTTCACAGAGCGTTCTTCTCCCAACATCGATGTGTCAAGGTTGCGAACTGTAAAAGAAAACACTGCTCTACTGCGTTTTGCGAGTAGATCACGCTGGCGCCGAGAAGCTATCGGCTTAGAACCAGTGACAGTTTTTGTGTGCTGAGTTTGCCTCGCATAATCACCTTCCAATTCTTCATCATGATCATCTGCAAATGGCCCGTCGTCATCTGATTCATCTGGCTCCGGATCGTCGTCATAGTCGTCGTCAGCTTCGTCGTCTTCTTCCTCGCTATCATCGTCATCGCCCTCGACGTCTTCCTCGTCCTCGACTTCGTCGTATTCGTCGTCATCAGATATCGGGTCTTCTTCGTCATCGTGTCCAGTTTTGCAATCACCACTTCCACCATCCAAATCGACTGTACCTTCGCCATTATCATTCACAGGAGGTGTACCGGTGGCAGTGTCACCAACATCGTTACCTGCAGAGTCTTGGGGGGGGGGGGCAGCGTCGCCTCGAAAACTTCTATCGGTACACTAACGAGTGACTGTTTCGTACGTGTTCGTTGTGCGATTGAGCTGCTCGGCTTGGTAGTGTTGGATTTGGCCGTAGCGAGAGGGAATGGCATATCGCTGTTCTGGTCAGAGATGTTTAGCGGAAGTCGTCCTCCGTCGCTGATACACCCGAGCTAACTAGCTCGTTGCTTTCATCAGGTACGCAGGGCTGTATTCCCCGCGAAGTTAGCTCGTCGCTGGTATCTGTATGTGGCTTGAAGAGCTCCGTAGCCCGGCTCCCACAGGTAGTCTCCTGTTCAGAAGGGGCCGCTGGCGACGATTTGTAGCGCTTGATGAACCTCGTCACATACACCTTTTGAGCACCTAGATCCTTTAACAGGAACTCATGGATGGTGCTACAGTACGTAAAAACATCGTGGTACGTTGCTTTGCCGTCTTCTCTCAGACAAGTATCGTAGTACTCCAACACCTTTGTTTCAAAAGCAGGAGGTTTCCGTTTTCTTCCTCCTCCTACCGCTCTCTTCCTCGCTCCATCACCGAGTGTTGAATCATTTTTCATGCGCGAGGGATCCGGATACTCCTTCTTCCACCTACTGAGAGCACCTCGGCTAACACCCAACTCGCGAGCGGCTCGTGTTGGTCCCCATTCCGGATTAGCCTCCCATACAATAAGCTTCTCAAGCTTCTGCATAAGCGTCAGCGATGTGCACCGACGCGCTGTAGCTCCCTCAGCTACACCTTGAGCTGCTGCAGTTTCCATTATGACGCAATTTTCAAACCTGTTCCCCACATCGCAGAAATCGTAGAGTGACTTGTGGGAGGTACCTTTTTGTCGGGTTTATACAGACTGTTCGTTTTGTGACAGACCATTTAATAGGTAACAATCGTGGCCAATTATTCTGTAACAGGCCAATTATTTGGTAAAGGGCCACTTATTCTGTAATAGACGTGGCCACTTATTCAGTAACAGGCCATTTATTTAATAACAGACCACTTATTTGGTAACTGGCCACTTATTTGGTAACGGGCCACTTATTTGGAAACGGACCGCTTATTCTGTAACAGGCCACTTATTTGGTAACGGACCACTTATTCTGTAATAGGTTATCTACGTACGTACAAACAAGTCTTGCGTTTCACGCGGAGCTGGATCGAGGATTGCTTCGATTGCAACACGAGCTCGAAACTCTTTTATCAGGGCATCCAACTTACCTTCATGGTAGTATTTTCGCAATTGCTTCAGGACGGAAGATCCACTTTTGCGCTTAGCCCCGTACGCTACGAAAAACTTAAACATGTTATCTTCCGACTGTTGCCCAACTTCCAGGACATGGTCACAATAAGTAGGTGACGATTGTTCCAGCTTGAAGCCATTTGGCAGGAAGAGCTTCATGTAGTTCACAATTTGCTTGTACGCTGATTTCTTTTGCCAGTTCTCGCAGACATCCCAGAGCCGCGGCGTCTTGGCATACCACTCAAACCAGATTGCGGCCGGCCGTTTAGAAGTCGACTTAGAGCCACAGCCCTTGAGTTTTGCTGATGTCACAGTGAGGCGTGAGGCATTTCCCGCCACTTCTCCCGCTGTCCCGGGCTCAGGTATGGGCATTGACACGGATATAACTGCATCCCTCTGAGCTTGTTGTTACTCCAGCTCCGTCACCCGTTTAGCCAACGCTTGATTCATCGCTACCAATTCGCTAATGACGCAATTTTGATGGTTGATCAGCGTATCTTCACGCGAAAACTTATTGCCGCTATTTCCTTCTGGGCCGTCGCTTTTCTTCATCGCTTTACGCTGAAGCTCAAAGCTTCATGCCAACACTTGTGCCTTCTCAATTCCAAGTTTCACGAGAATTATGCGCATTCTAGACACGTATGGACACATCGGATACCGTTCTAGAACCTCAGGGAAATGCTGGATCAAAGATGCCGTGAGTACTTCGCATACACGATCACTTAGCCGTTTACTGGGATCTTCAGTGCAAATACTCGTCTGGAAGAGGAGGTTGGCAATACAACGGGCTTGTTCCCATGTTGTGGAATCCAGCCATGATAACGTTGGCACCTGGGGCTTGGCACTTGCGTCCCATCCGCTCAGAACTCTCGCAACCTTCTGATCCTCACTTGTGGTATTGAACACATACGCAAATGCCTTGCTTGTAGACGTCACGTTCCATAAACCACCGTCGAAAATCCACTGGGCGCTTAGATTAGCATCGCCGTTCGCATGCTGGGCACCACCGCGGCGGAAAGAATGCGAGGTCAAGTTGGGGGTAGGCCTTGCTCTTGCTTGTGCTTCGCTCGCGGATTTGACAATGCGATTGACATACGCGTGTATCTTCATACTTTTATCGTTAGTTTTGCGCTTCTTCGTGCGTGGCTTGCTGGAAGTCTCAGAAGCCGTTTCTGTGTCATCTCGGTCACAGACTGCTAGTGCTTCTGCTAAAGAGATATCTGTAGGGGTTACGATTCTCTCTTCGTCTCCGGTAGCAAGTTGAGGATGATCCAATAAACGTGAGCTTGGTGTATCTTGCATTACCAGGGCCATGGCGATCGCATGTAGTGAGCAGGTGACGAAACTCACTTGATCAGGGAAGATCGATATACCTTGCTCTTCCGATGTCTTGACGCGTAAGAGCCTCACACAGACGACTCCATCAGCGCTTACGGTGAGGTTGCTCTTTGCGACGAAGCCTAAGTCTGAAGCGCGGCCGAACGCATACCACATCAAGGCAAGGAGCGCAGCGTCTTGGTAGTCCTTAGAGCTCGCAGCATCAAAATACAGACCGTCCATCAGAATACGTAGATCTTCCTTCGTGCACGCCGGCGCTCGCTTCGTAGTACCACCTTCGAGGCGCTTCAGGCAGTGCCATTCAAGAGTCTGGGCCATCTTGAGAAGCTTCTTTTCGATTGAGGCTCTATTTTTCGGGTAGGTGTCGAGTAACCAGTTTTTGACGTACCGGAAGTAGCTCATGACTGAGTTGCGAGCTAGCGCCTTCCCTCCTCGCCCTTCTGCACTTGTAAGATAAATTGCGAAGCGATCCATCAGCTTGACAAACTTTGCCCCAGTCATATCACCTAGAAGAGTGGCTGCGATATACTGCATATTGACGCCTTCGGCCACAAGGAAGTAAGCGAACGCATTGATAGCTGTCTGTTGTGCACGCTAGGAGTTGGCCGGTGCAAGGTCTTGCAGACTCATACTGTTTTGATGTGTTTTTGTCGGTCAGAGGGGGAATATCCAAATGATGTTGAAACACTTGATGGTTTGTATACATTAACGCATATTATGTACCCTTGCCGACATTATATGTCGGCACAACGTCGGCAGCTTTTTCACCTAATCCTAATAACTCGGATTTGATAAAATAACTGCATCCACGACTTGATTGGCTGTTTATCAAATATCAGCTCAATACGACCATACTGAAACTAAGTAAGAAATAGACTGTCGGCAGCTTGATGATATTCCTCCGTATTTTTGCTTTTATGGTCCCATCACCCCCACATCTAG